TACAGGGTGGAAAAAATGAGAGTATTTTTCTTTGTTCTTCAATGAATATGCTGGCCAGAGTAATGAGAAGAAGCTGCCGTAGGCACGTCTTTTTTATTGGCCCGCATAATCCCCCCTTCACTCCGTGTCATAAGGATGTGTGAGCAGTTGAACTCAGACATATAAAGTTGTTCAGAATGCATTTTCCAGTCAGCCTAGCTGATTGTGAGACAGTGGGGGCTGTTGGTGTGGACCTCCTTTCTCGAGCAGTAATGCAGACGACCCGCACCTGCCGACTAGTGACTCATCATTTAGTCTACCCGTTACCCACAACCCCGCACCAACATCGAAAACCTATGACGCGGGGGAGGGGTATTCTAGCCATGCCTCTGATCTGCCTGATCTTTGTTGAGGTTTTCATTGTCAATCACCGGGGTATAACTGCATAAGGACGACCAGCAATCCCAAAGTAGCCATTCTGAACAGTTTTAGTCATGCATCCTTGAGAGATATTCCTGGATGTAATCATTCTGCACACAGGGACGGTCTCCGAGTCCACTTTGTCTGCCCAGGTTGTTTCAGTACATTTTTAGCTATGCTGTTTTGAATTTACAATCAGAATTGTATTATCAGAACGGAGTCAAACAGCCCCGTATATTCAACTTGGAAGCACAGGCCGCTAGGGAGGATCTGAGATGCCTTTGCATCAACTCATTGCGTCATTGAAAATGTGCCATAAACAGTAGGTTGCCGTCGTGAAATACGATGACCAGTACAGCAGCTCGTAGTAGTCAACCCTTTCCGTCCAATGGGACGACGTAAGCGTCCGCCTCTTCGGCCGTGGATCCACAAAAACGTCGGTAGGACGTTAAGTACGTCGAATAGGTGCAGGCGAAGATTGCGCTTTCGCGTCATGCATAAAAGGAGACACAGCAGATGCTTAATGCGCCATACACATGCCAGCGCTCCGTAACGTCATCGGTGAGTGCCCCTGCATACAAGTACAAAATCGCAAACGGCAGGACTCGCCCGAGGCTAAATTT